AATTCATTGTAACGACGCACGACAGACCACTGAAATCACCTAGCCATTATCAATATTTCGATTACTATTACTTCGAGCAATCGCTCCTCCTGCTCCCTTAAATCAAAACTACACAAAGCTAACAATACGCAACTAGCATTTCTTTGCAATAACGAAAGGCAAATCCAGGTGATATAAGACTAAATCAACCTCTTTATTCGTGCGATTTGTTCCATTCGACACAGTTGATTCATTAGAATTTTCCACATTGGTATTATCCTGTACATCAAATCGCTCAACACAAACAATATACACATACATTGTGCGTTCTGAAAATACGATCAAATTCGGGATTTCCTTAAAATTTGCAACCGATTTCAAAGCAAAAACAGCGAGTGGATAAAATTTCTGCATGAATCTGATTATTCGATAGAGCTGAACGTCCGATTTGAAGAGTAGTAAAAAACGAACGATTTGACGGGTCTCGTCGTGGCTCAATGCGTGGTATTGTGACCATCCATCGATTTATGTCACGATGCGGATCGAATATCGTTAACTCATTTGGACTTATCGAACGAGACGGATGTCGTTCGCTCGTCTCTTCCTGGAATCAAACGACGCATACCCAACTCTCATCCGAATTTCTACTGATCGAATCAAAAAATCCAAACCAATTCACTGACCGAGCTCCCCACCGCAGCAACAGGCGATATCTCCACCTCTGCGCCATTACTGTCGTTACTATTCTTCTCATAAGTTATCTGAAACCAAACTCTCAGTGAACACTATCCACATCCAATAACATCCGATACAAATATGTAAATGCCTCACAATCTCTTATACGAGAAGGTTTACACAACACAGAGAAACATGCAATTCGATGCACTCGCTTCCTCATAGAGAACGAACAAAAATCGCAACTTTATCAAAAGGTCTCAAATACACTTCAAGTAAAGACTAAAGAATAAAATAAACTCACATCAATACTCGGTAAAGATGCATACTGAAGCATGTACTCAGGATTCGGATGCGAACCAGCCACTGCACTCGCATCATTTGCCAGTTCAACATGCATCGCACCCTTTGTGAGGTTCGACGATGACCCTCCGCCACCATAAGCCATATCACTGAGACGATCGAACGATGATGATGAAGTTGACTCCACCGAGCCATCCACTGCAGACGGCATCAGCACCTTCCATAAACGATTCCTTAACAAACACTATTCTAACACTCAACTCATCCAAAACAATCTGTCTCTATTAAAACTCTTCGATTTGCCTAATTCTGATTTTCGAATCAGCAAATTTCTCATCTGTCAGGAAGCGATTAAAAAATTGCACAAAATAACAAAATACTAAATAACTGCACACCAAAGACGACTATCAGCACAAATTTATGATTAATGCAAAGTTAACCGACACAATAATATCATATCGGATATCCAAAGATTTTCTAAAACACGTTCAAAAGATTCATGAGCGCATCGCCCTATTTCTGAAGCTTCGAGCAGTGCGTCGCTCTATTTCTAAAGCATCTGCAAGCTAACCAGCCAACTCTTCATAAAAATCACATACCTGAACTGCGATAGAGAAAAGGATGACTCAGTGCCCGGCAGTGTGAGACGACGTCCTAAATTCGATCGTTCACCCACAAACATCAACTCATCCACCGAAATTGGTGGTGATCCACACAGATGCCCCAGATAACATTCCGACTGGCAGAACGGTACCACGTATTCGTGCTGAAGACGTTTATAGACCATCTGGAACGCCTGCAAAAAAAATCTAATTCTCAACTTTTAATCTGAAATAACACGATATTTCTGAATTTATTTACAATTAGATGCTCGAAAACACTATCGCTCGAAAACTGTGTGTGCAATTACAATTCGGACAGTAGTCACCTTTTCAATAGCGCGATCCAACGCCTCAATTGTACGCGTTTCGACAGCAATTCGAAATTCATTCTGCACCTCCTCAGGCAGTGCCACTCGTTCCGGTGCCGTCGAATGCACGTACTTGCTGAATATCTCCCAAACGTCGTAGTGCAGCTCACTTAGCGCATTTTGGTCCTTATCATCCTGTAAAATTTGCGCATATTTCAATTAAAAAAATCACCTTTTCGGATTCAAAACTAATTTTGAGCATTTTCAGACGTATTTCAGACATAATAACTCAAAAACTTTACC